AGCAGGTGCTGATTTATCCAAGGGGATGGGAGGATGCAAAAGCAGAGTCTCGATAGCATCCCAGCTCCCTGTCTCGGATAGAGACCTGTAGAGCCTCCATCTCTACTAATCTAAGGGCTGTGCCAGCCCTTTTCCTCCCGCGTTACGCGCTGCCTTTGATTTGCCCAGTGGCAGTCGATGGGCCCGCAGCCTGCGAAGTGATTTAGGAGGTTTTATTATTTGTTTCCTTGATTCTTCCTAGGCAAAGCTGTGCTGTTTTGCTTTCAAAGCTTGGCAATGGCATGCACTGGGCTTTTTTTGTTTTTGTTTTTTTTCCCAGCTTTCTGGTTGGTTTGTGTCTGCATTGCTGTGATGTTGTTCTTGCCCATGGTATGGATCGATACCATAGCAATATGTATTAACCTAATAGCGCATAATCTTTCAAGTCAATAGTAGGCATTTTCAACATACGCGTTTCTCTATCCAAGAAGGACTTAGCTGAGTCTGTAGCCACGTCTCGCTCGTGAGGCTACGGTGCCCTGGCTGGGCTGGAGGAGACATTGCCAGGAGCCCCGAGCCCATCTTTACCTGCTGTTCCTCCGATGCGTTGGCCTATGGGTAATTCACCTTGCTTAGCAACTGCACAGAAGAGCAGTTACCAGCATGCTGGGAAAGTCCCTGGAAGCCTAATTTAGGGTTTCCTTTATTAGCATGACCTTTTGCTGTGTGCAGGGTAATTAGTTGTTCAGCTCCCGGTAGCTCCGCCTGCCCGACCGCGATGCCTTGCAGGTATTTGCACCTTCCTGACAACGAACTTGAGGGTATTTGCTAGGAAAAACAAGGGTGCACCAGGAAGACGGTAGGCAGCGCAGGGGCACCGATCCGAGCACGTTCCCAAAACCTGCCTTGCTGCCGTCCCAAGGCGCAGGCTGGGATTATGGCCGGCCTGTGTTCTCAAAATGGCTCACTTTGGGGTTTGCGCTGCGCTTTTCATAATGTCCTGGCTGTGTTATGGAGCACGGACCTCTAAGGAGCTACTGCCTGCCAGGGTCCTTTGTCCCTCGCCGGCACCACAGACGTCCCCGAGTCCCTAAGTGGACGCAGCGGCTCTGGAAGGAGCAGAGGTGAAACTGTGGCGCCTGTGAAATCAGGAGCGAAACTCCCGTCGGTGTCATCGGGGCTGGGACTTCCAGCCCCGTGCGCTGGTTTTAGTGTGCATGGAAGAGGTTAAACCTGGTTCTGTTAGTCAAGGTGAAGCGTAGTTCCTCGGGAGAGCGCTTTGGGCAGGGGAAAACGCCGAGTGCCTCCAAGTCGTTCTTGCCTGCGCAGAATTGAGCTGTGCGTCCTCCTGGCTTTGCGATGCTTCGGAAACGTCAGAGCTGCGGCGAAGTAAATGAGCAGACTTGGGATGGACACATTTCCCGTTGCGTCAGCTTCTTCTGTCAATCTTGCAATAGGTTGAAACTTTCTTAAGATAGGGTAGCAATAAAAATAAGCAGTGTTTGCAAGCACAGTAAAACCCCCATCTGAAAGGCTTTTATGCAGAAAGCCCAAGGGCTGTCCCTCGGGCTTCTTGCATGCTCTAGATGATAGCTGTAATTTTACAGCAGTAATGAACAGCAATTATAGGTTGACTTGCATCTTCCTTTTAAAATACATGGTTCACTGTAACTGTCAAGATTTAAAGTTAACCGTGCCATTTCTATAAGCCTTAGCCCTTATGTTGGATGGTAATGAAGTAATAACGTGCAGGAATAAAATACTGTTTATTTAACGTTTAAAGCAACGGTGCCTTTCATTTTATGTCTTTACTGTGTAATGATGGGGCAAATATACCTCAGCCTTGGCACTCCAGAAATTAGAAAGATTGGATCACTCAATTTGAGGGGGATAAATAAAAGGAAGGGGGGGGGGGACTTTCTTTTCTAGCATGGCAGAGGTAGCAAACGCTGCAAAGTGTCCTGAATCCTTTCTGTTCTGGGTAGGGACTGAATACCAGCCATAATTTTTAATTTTGTTACCCCTTTGTTGCGCCCATCGTCCTTTAATGTATTTGTGCGTATTGAGTACATTTAATATACGCAGTTCAGTAGCGTTGCAAAATGCTTCCATGTAGAGTGCTCTAAAAATGCCAAGTATTATGCTAACATGACTCTTTTTGTGACAGTTGTTCATCCTGGCGTAAAATACAAATGAAATGCAAAATCTAAATGGTATTACATAATGAGAACAGCAATTGGATGTAGTATCCACTGACAGGTAAAAGAGTTACTTTTGAAGCAGATGTTGCAAGAATTCCTCTAGCATCAGAGATCAGCTACATTCCTCAGTACGTGGTTGTAGATTTGCATGCACAATGATGATTTTCAACCCCATTTAAAAATATAAAGCAGTGTTTTTTAATGAGACGCAACCAGGCTGTTAAGAGACAATGCAATGTAAGCTCTCCCGGCTCTAACGCTTGCAAGTTATTGAATCAAGCATTCTTGGTTTTAAATGAAACGCACACGCACACGCACAGGCAATAATGCCTGCAACTTGAATATTTCAGGCCCTTCTTTAACAGAACCTACGTATACCTTCACTTATCGTTCATAAAAGTCTTGCGAAAACATACAAAAGATATTTTGTGCAGTGACATCAGAGGGAGAAAATATTCTTAGAAAATTTCATGCTGTTAAATCTCTACAGATTTACAGTTTTATCCAGTCAAATTAATGCAAAACCCCAATGCAAGCATTTGGATTTTGAAAACTTTGGAGGAGTGTCATTTCCTAATAGTAATTATTGGTTTTACATTATTTTTTCACAGGGGAGCTGATCACAGCCGCATATGAGCTTGGAGTAAGTATTAGTTTTATTGTTTAATCAATGCTCTCATTAACAGTTTTAGGAATTAAGGAAGTTTAATTAAGCATGGAGTAAAGTAGATTAATTTATTTTCAAACCACAGTTTTTACTAACTTATAAGTACAGCACGCGACAATTTACTTCAAGTTTTAAATCCAATTAAACTAAATTATAAAGCAAAGGCTTTACTGTATATACAGTAGCTGGCTTATTATCAACCCAAATTTTGTATAAGCTGGGGAGAATAAAATAAATCGGGTTAACAATTTTAATAAGTTTTATTATTTAATAAACTTTATTATGGTGCATGATCCCTTTAGGCAAGACCTTAGGACTGTCAGCGTGGTGGTAATCCGATAGCAGTGTGGTCTTTCAACTTGCTAACCAATAAAATAGTTCAGAATCTGCTTTTTAAAAACAGCCTTTTGAATGACCCTAATATACTGTGAACCCAAACAACAAGCAGTTTAAGGAACGATAATGAAATGTGTCACCTCTTTTCTCAGCGATTCATTATTATGGGTGATGTGTGTAGCCAAATCCACTCAAGAAAATATTTGCTAAGTTGAAATTGGCACAAAACGATTGTTAGAGAAAAGCTTCTGTTCAAAGACCCTCGTTATTGGCGATAGACCCTGGTGCGCAGTATCAAGCTCGTGGGAGAGCTCGTTCCGGGCTCCAGCGCCGTTGTGGTTTTATTTCAGCTGTATGGCAACTTTGTGAAGCACGTGTCGATCTGTCCGTAGGTCGCCCACCCTCCCGGCTACCCTTTGTTCACGCTGCTGGCCAAACTGGTGATTGGGCTGTTGCCCTTCGGGTCCGTTGCGTACCGAGTAAATCTGCTCTGCGGCTTGTTGGGAGCAGCTGCAGCGTCTTTGCTTTTTTACACAGTTTTCAGGTAAAGTCATTGTCGGTATTTTCTTGTTGTCGTGATTCTGCTGGGGCGCTTCCACGGCATCGCGGGACGTTTCTTAGCGCACCCTCTGTTCCCCTCTGGCCTTTTAACCACTGTTTTCCCCCTATGTTTCGAGCTGTAATTAGTTCCTCTGATTAAACGAACAGTAGTTTAATCTGAATTTGACCTTCTTTCCCGCACAAAAGGTTTTATTTATTTTTTTAAATAATGATAATAGCCATAATAAAAAGTGCACCCTTTTCCTTACAAAGACGTGACAGGTTGTTCGGTCTCATTATCACAACTCACTGATCAGTTTAACTAACCAGAACTAATGAAGTTTGTCATTATATAAAGATGCAGATGGTCTGTTTAAATTAACAAGATGAGCTTCACCTATCGGCAAACCGTGAACTTAATTTAATTGCTCCTCTTCGAGGAGGCGGACGGGCAGTTGCCTGCCCGTGGTACCTGCTCTCTTTGCGCGCCCGTGTAATCTCGCTGCTCGCCAGCGCTGCAGCAGAAATTCAGCCTGCGCCCGAGTGCTTGCAGACAGGGTAATATGAAGAGCAGAGATCAGTACTGGCCGCTTCCATCGATTTTGCTGGGTAGCGGCTTTTCCCCGCAGCGTAGGTGTTGCCTTCTGCGGGAGAGCTGCCGTAACCCATCCGTTTTGTGCAGACCTCTAACCCTGCAAAAAAGGGAGCAAACGCAGTTGCACGTGGTTTGGGATTTTGTTAACCCTCGTTGTCTTTGATGTGGAAGTTCCTTCTGCTCTTAACCTTCGCCTGACCCATATTTGAGAGGATTATCGCAACCAATACAAACAATTTCTAATGTTCTTTTGCAGGGAAAATAGGGCGCGTTTCTAGGCTGAAAACGTTAGCGAAATCTAAAATTATATCAGAATTGTTGATACAGTCTTTGAACGGAGGGACAAAATGCAGCGCTTTATAACTGAGATTATTTTGACAAAGCCGTTTTCTTCATCCAGTTAACGGAGCTACGTTACCCCTCGGGTAAAGCTTCCCAGGAACCGAGTGCGACCTAGAAATAAAAGCAGGAAAAAGCAGCGGGCCAGATCCTGTACAGCCTGAGAGCCCTGAACTCTCCTGAACTTCTGGGGGAGTGAGAAATGCCCAGGGCTGCACGGGATTTGTCCGTCCCAACAATCTTCCTCTATTAAATGGCTATTTGACTGTGTAACATCATGCACGTAGCAGTGGATCTTAGTGCCTGTCTTACACTGAGCTCCAAAGTGTGTACGCAAACATACTGAAATGGCTCAAGTAATTCCTAAATATTTTTACAGACTAATGCATTTAAAGCAATTGCTTTTACTGTTTGATAACATATGTAATTAAGTCAGTGTCTTTTAACTTAATATTCTGTATATTAAAGCATATTTGGAGTATTGGAAGCAGCGTTGCCCTCTCATGTGCAGTGGCACATGCGGTGTCAGAGCACAATTCATTTTGATTATATCAAAAACTCCCGAAAGGAGTTGCTAAATGTTTTTGAGTATTGGGCTTTAAATTTTTTTAAATTATAATTGCTCTTACTGTTACAGCTGTTGTGCAGGTCTGCCCAGATTTTTAGTTTTAACTCAAACATGACAATTCCTTGCATGCAAGTTTTGTGTGTGTGCAATCATGTGAAATTTTTCTTAGCTGTCGAGAAACTGGAAATGCAATAGAAAAATGACAGGCTAAGTTTGGAGGTTTTTTACACTACTAAGGGTTTGCACTTTTTTGTTGTTTCATTGGATTTGGAAGATACAGGTTCTGTCCAATTTAAAACTTGCATGAAAGAATAGAAAACAAAGAAATGAGAGATGATAGAGACTGTTAACACTTGCAAAATATTTCATCGGTGTAAGGCACTGACTGACAGTCGATTATTAAGACTAGCAGTGGTTGTTTTTTTTTTTTAGTGAATTGTAAGATATTATGGGTCAGTTATGTTTACAAATTACAGTGTCGTGCTTTTCCTTTTAAACACCTTAAAATTGATCTTTTTTTAAAGACAGTCATTTAGCAAAACATTTTTCTTTCTTTGGCTGTATACCTCAAAAAAAAATCTTCCTGAAAGTATTTATTTATTGGCACTGTCGGCTTGAAAGTCTGAAGTAACAGAAGGCACTGTGTGTTTTGTTTTTAACCAGGATCCCGGACCCTCACAAAGGATCTAAATTGGTCTATCCAACCCTTCCGTATTTTTGCGTTTTAATTAAAATACAGCTGACGAAGTGACCTCCGAAAGCCCTTTGGTACCAAAGGAAAAATAAGCAACGGCTCGTTCTGCCGTAAGAAAGCCGGAGACGTTAATATGAAAATATGTAGATGTTAGGAACACAAATAATTGATGAAGTACATATCCTTTGGGAGCAACCCGGTTCAAGTGGCAAATCTCTCTCGTCAAACAATAGACACCCTTCAGAAAGGAGGAAGCCATCTCTATGGTAATAGGGCTAACAGTGCCCTATTGATTGAGTGGAAGAAGACATTATACAATGTCAGTTGGGTTGTTACAATTTCATTTGTCGTGTGACCTGAACTTAACCTCGAAAACCTTTCTTCTGTCAGTGCAGACCCAGCAGCCGGGCATGTTTGCTGTTTACCATTACCGCGAGGCGAGGAGGCGGGGGGGGTGGATTTTCTATGTGTTTTGCAGCCTGCGTGTACATTAAATATATTCCTTTGGCAGATTTATCCTTTTGTCAGGCATTTGTTTAGGAGGCGTTTCCCAAGTTTATTCGTGCGCGGGTCAGGACAATTTATTTTGCTGTTTTAAGGAAGGAGTTCTCGTTCCCTCAGTAGCGGCGTTGGTTGCGATTTAGGAGGACGTTGCAGTGCATGCGGGATTAGGATCGACTTGCGTTCAGTACGTTTATCCTTTAAACAGATCTCTCCTCTCCCAGGTAATGGTGCACAGGATGCTCTGCGTAGTCACCGCTGGGATCGACGGAAAGAAACCCCTGCCTCTTTTTCTTTCTTTTTTTTTTTAAACACAGATTTTGCATCTTGAAACAAAGTTCTGTTGAACCATGCTCATGCAAAAAGCTCTTTTGTCAGTAATCCAGACCATCAGCGAATGAGCATTTTGCTCTGTTGAATTAGTTATCAAATATGTTTTTCCTCTCCGCACAGTCTTAATAAATTGCTTGTAATTATCGTAAAATGGCATTTACAAAGAGTTTTCTTAGACTGCTTATAACTGATGCAAATAATTCATCTTTGCTTTGAAAGACAGAGGAACTGCATTATGTTTTTAGGACGCAGAAAGTGCGACTATATGATTGTTTCTTTAAACAAATATTTATTTGTTTTACTGTGGGAGGCAAAGCATAGCAAGTTTACAAAGTAAACCAATTATGTTCTTATAATATGATTGCCAAAGTGTAATTTTCTGCACAGATGATGCATTCTTTGCATTCTCTGTTGCAAAGAGAAATTGTATGCTTCTCATTGCTTTAAGTGCATTTTTTCAGGGTATAACTTTCACAGTTTGAGTATTTTTCTATATGTGTATAGCTAGCTTATTGCAGGTGTAGTAGTACAGCAGAAGATACCATTTTATAAATACTTCTTGTAAGTTTTTGGCAGCTTTATTTTGAGTAAGTTGCACACGGACAATTGGAAGGGGAAAATATGCATTAAATCGAGCAGTTCACATCTTTTCAGCTGGTGCTCTAGGTATTATGTCGTGTTTTAGACTAATAGATATATATATATATATTTTTTGTCCCCAAACCAATGTACTGTGCAAGAAACTCTGGACGTAGATGAAAACTGAAGCCAAGTCTTCTCGCACTGGTAACAAAAAGGAGTGGCGGTAACATTTTATGAAATCCTCAAGGTGTTTTGGAAGTGGCACTTTAATATATTGGTAGATCTGAGGTTTATTGCTCCAGTTATTTATGTCCTCGAGCTCTGTGGGGAAGGGCCCCTGTGAATCAAACGTGCTGGAGCGTTAGGAAGACCTGCTACCTGCGTCGCACCCTCGAGAGTGAGCTCGTGGTTCAAGGGAGGAGGCAGTGGAGGCAAAACCGAGGGTGAAAGTTGTGATTCCCTTGCAGTTGCAGTGTGCCGCTTGCATAAAACAACTCGCTGCTGGAAAAAGTTGTCTGCTGCGTGTGATGGGTGGGGAAATACTCCTTGTCCCTCAGATGTACAGGTTAGCTGTAGCTGAAGTAGTCAGTGAACAGTTGACTTTATTTTATTTTATTTTTTTTGGCAGGGTCTGAAGACCAGGTGTCGGAAAGAAGCGTTCCTGGCTTGTATGTCAGCGTTAAACCAAAAACACAGAAATTAAGCAGTTGCACATAGCGCAGGGAGATAATGGTTAATTTAACACGTTGTCCCCACAGCGCAGTGAGCTGATGAAATTATACTTTAGAGTGCTTTACACGTTCGTCTTCTGATTACGTTCCTTTTCAGACAGATCAACTCAAGAGGATCTTCGCTGAGGGTAATGTAGGGATTTGGGACAATTTTAAATGTTCCAAGAGCTAGATTATGGAAACGAGTGTTATGAATCCAAAGCAAGGGAGGACTACTTTACCCCAAGTAGAGAATATATTCTTTTGGATTGTTACGCACTTGACCATTGCTTCATTTGGCAAAGAACAGCAAATTAAAATACTGTGCTTTCCGGAATAAGGAATCTTATAGGGCATGCTTGGATTTTCCAGATTACAGATTATTTTAAATTATTGCCATTGTAGCACAATATGAAGATCTTCACAGTTTCAAAAGCAGCTATGCGTAAGTAACAAGTAGTTACTAAGTTTTAGGAGGAAGAGAAGAATGGAAGGTACTCAAGTATTAATTTTCTTTTAGAAGAATATCTATCATGACCTCTGGCTAATTGGTCATATATATTTTTTTTCCCTCATACTCGTAATAAAATGGCATTGAGTTGAGTGTGTTTAAAGACATTAACAAATCTGTTCATTTGCATTTTTCTATAAAGTAGGCACATTAGGCTGAAATAACTGTGCT